GACATCATGAACAAGGTGGGCAAGCACCCCCAGCGCGAGGCAGCGGGAGTGCGTGGCTCTGGGGTCCCACCCAGCGCCTGCAGGCGGCACAGGCCTGCAGTGAGGACTGGAGGGGACAGTACAACCTGAGTATTTCCCTGGGGTCGTGGGAGCTCCAGCTGTTTGCCTTCCTGGGCCGTGGACCCCCGTGTCCGCTCGCTGTGGACTCTGAGCACCGGTGGTGTCAGCCTCTCAGCCAGGAGGAGGAGTTAGGAAGCACTCGGGCTCCTTAGGGGGGTGTCTGTGACCTGTGTCACCGCGTCGTCATGTGAGCGCGTTTCCCCACTAACCTCCTCTTAATTTTCCAGTGTACGTCTCTGTGCTGTAAACAATGTCAGGAAACAAAAATAACAACCAAAAATGAAATATTCAGGTGAGATATTTATTACATTTTTAGTAAACTTCTGAGTACATTTTCCCAGCTGTCTTAACACAATTATTGTCAAAACTATTTCCGCTGCCCGTACACTCCACCTCTAGTTCCTCAGCAAGTGAACCATGAGGGGCGGCGGGCTCCCTCAGCCCCAGCTCAGGGACAAGCAGCAGAGCCGGACGTCTTGCCTCAGTCCCTGCTGGGATCTGTGTTCTAGGGCAGCGGTTCCCAGCATGGGGCACACGCCTCAGGGGGGCAGTTTGATTTTTAAATAGGCAATTTGAGAATGAGTTATTAATTGAATTTTTTTGCATCTCTTATGGTTCTAGGGCAGTGGTCAGCAAACTGCTGCTCGCGAGCCACATGCGTCTCTTTGGCCGCTTGAGTGTGGCTCTTCCACAAAATACCGACTTCTGCGCATGGGCCACGAAGTTTCAATCGCACTGTACATGCGCGCCCACACGTGGTATTTTGTGAAAGAGCCACACTCAAGGGGCCAAAGAGCCGCATGTGGCTCGCAAGCCACAGTTTGCCGACCACTGTTCTAGGGGCTTCATATACAGTATATATGTTGTGACCTATTTATGCATTTTTTGTTCTCTATTATGTTTTGAAACTTTATTTGCTGTTTTTTCATATCATGTCATATTATTTTTTAACAATTTCTTAGTAATTTCTTTCTCAGTACTTCAACTGTCCTTTCGTTCTTTTGTCTCTTCCATGCCATGTTCTTTGGAAGCTTCTTTAGATCAAGTGAATGGCCTTTTAGGCTTCCTCCTCGTGAATAGGAGCTCACTTTTTGAATAAGAATTCTATGTCACGGGGCAGGGGACGCCATCAGGATTTGAGAGATGCTTAGGTGGGGCGTGGCCAAAGGAAGGTTGGGAACCACTGGTCTAGGACAGTGGTCGGCAAACTGCGGCTCGTGAGCCACATGCGGCTCTTTGGCCCCTTGAATGGGGCCGTGAAGTTTCAACCCCACTGTACGTGAGCGCCCACACATGGTATTTTGCGGAAGAGCCACACTCAAGGGGCCGCAGTTTGCCGACCACTGGTCTAGGATATGGGAAGGACCTACCATGCCTCGGGCATCACAGTCCGTCCTGTTAAACATCGTTTTGCCACATTTGGCCCCGATCAAGCGGGGATGCTCTGACCTGGCCCGGTGCTGAGGGAGTGTTTGAACCGTGTACACCGCTTTCCTAACTGCTGTCTGCAGTGACGGGCCAGCCGGGGAGGCGCCCGGCTGCACTGACTCCCACGCCAGCAGCAGAGCTGTGCCCTCATGGCGCTGTCTGCAGCAGGGCTGAGGCTAGCGCTGGTCCTCTGGCCAACATGGAGAAGCGTAGGCTGAATAACCTGGGCGGGCTGCCAGCTCCTGCTGTCACTCTGAGGCTCTGCTTTCATGTAAAGCTAACAGGTCAGAAATCGTAGCTCTTGTAGCCTCACTTCTTGGTCAGCCCGTAAGAAGTCTGTCGGAATGAGGCTGCCCCTCCCCATGTTGTGCTGACTGACCCTGTGCCGTCTGTTGCAGCTTGTCCCTGTGTGGGCCCATGGCGGCCTACGTGAACCCCCACGGGTACGTGCACGAGACGCTGACCGTGTACAAGGCCTCCAACCTGAACCTGATAGGCCGGCCGTCCACGCAGCACAGCTGGTTTCCTGGGTAATGTCCTGGGGACTTTTCCTTTCGGCTTTGCTGTGACTGGGCACAGAGATTTCTAAGTCGCATTGCTGGAGTTACAGCCCGAAGTAGACCATGGAATGAATGGTTCTCTCTACATGCCCTTCACGCTGGGAGGGGCTGGCGCCTGGGCTGTCCTTGCATCGGCTCCCTGATGTGGGGTGGGGAGGAGGTGGTGGCCCTGCGGGTACCCGTCCCTGCCACCCGGCAGCCTCCACCTGGGAGCCCGGGGGGTCCCTCAGCCACATCCTCTTCAAGGGCCTGAGTATGTCTTTTCTGCCACATCTGGGTCAGCCTTTCTTTTTTGGACAAAATGAGCTGAGCAGGAATTAGTGGTTTTACTGCTAGAACCATGGCAGTCGGCTTAACACCCTTTTTAGTCCAAGGACTAAAACTAGAATTAACGTGTTAACCTAAATTCTAAGCTTGGGAAAGCTCGGGTGAAAGAGCTGCGATTCCATGGTTTGGCGTGTCTTCCTGAAGAGCAGAAACACCATGGCTTGTATTCTTTTTATATATATTATTGATTTCAGAGAGGAAGGGAGGAGAAAGAGAAACACCAATGATGAGAGACTATCATTGACCGGATGCCTCCTGCACGCCCCACACTGGGGATGGAGCCCACAACCTGGGCATGTGCCCTGACCGGGAATTGACCTGTGACCTCCTGGTTCATAGGTCAGTGCTCAACCACTGAGCCACGCCGGCTGGGCCTTGGCTAGTCTTTCTGACGGAGCCTTCCTGTTTCAAGAGGTTCAGTTTCATGAGAACTGCCCACCGGAGAGCACTCCCTCTGGGGCAGCTGCCGCGAGGCGGTCACCTGTGTGGTCACACAGGAGCTGGACCACGTGCCCCGCAGGAACTCTGGGTGTGAGGGGCGTGCAGACCAGAGCTCCGTGTTCTCCCTGATGCTGAGAATAGGGCCCTAGGGCGTCTCTCCCTAAGCTGGAGGCACAGAGATGGCCACCCGGCTGACCTTCCCTTCGCCCTTCCCGCTGCAGGTTTGCCTGGACGGTCGCCCAGTGCAGGGTCTGTGCCAGCCACATCGGATGGAAATTCACGGCCACCAAAAAGGACATGTTACCCCAGAAATTTTGGGGTTTGACTCGCTCTGCTCTGCTGCCCACGATCCCGGACACCAAGGATGAGCTGAGCCCTGAGAAAGTCGTGCTCTGCTTGTAAACACGGTAGGGCCCCAGGCACTTCACAAGCTGTGGCCCAGGCAGTCCCCTGCGGGAACGCCCGCTACTGGCTCCCCCAGCACAGCGGCCCGGGAGGGGCAGCCTCAGCCACAGGGCTTTGGAGGTTTAGCCTCAACTGCCCTGTGGGCGAGGGAGAGCCGCCAGGACACCTGGTTTCCAGGAACGCCCACCTCCACAGCGTGTGCCAGGGCCCTGCGCAACCTGGGTCAGGCACCTCGTCACGGATAGACACCGCCGCACAGAGCACGTGTCACTGCTGGAGGGCGGCCCTGTGAGGCCGCGTGCAGAGCGGCACGTGGTCCGTGCTCCTGAGGGCCACACTCAGGCACCTGGTCCCAGTTAAAGGTGAGGCAGTGGGTAGGACTTCAGAGCCCTTTACAGGCCTGTGTTCCTCTCAACTTCTCGTGTCTCTCAGTCCTGGTTGTAAATATTAGAGTTGAGAGAGGCAGCTTGAGCCCCAAAATACAGTTTTCATTTTCTCACGTGTTAGTAAAAACCCAGTATTGTGTGCATTTGCTCAGTGTCTGAACTGTGACACCGCTGGTTCTGCTCCAAGTGCAATCGGGACCTAGACCACTAAGGAGCAGATGCTCAAGTGCGCCCCCTCCGGGAGGCCAGACGCTGTCTTCTTAGGCTGTTTTGTTCAGGGTCAATTGGAAAAAACCTCTAAGTAAATTTTAAGAGCAAAACTAAAACACGTTCTCTGTTAAGTGATGTGAAGCGCCTACGCGAGCAGATGGCGTAGGTGTAAGAAGTAACTTGGAGACGAAGGTCTCGCTCCGCTGATTCGCCACCTACCTCTTTGCTTGTACACTGGGGGTTCACTGGGCGTCTTCCCATTGGTGTGAACTATGGTGGTCTTGCTAGTCCTTTGCTGCTTCACCTAATTCACTGGGGAAAGTTCAACTAAGGGGTAAAACGTGAGGCCAAAACCGACTGTCTTTTACCAAACGTGCACCCATGTGGACTGCCTCGCCCACAAACGCCAGCGACCACCCTGCACGTGCCACCTCGTTCCAAACTCCACACTGTCGTCCCCACGCTTTCCTGTGGCCCCGATGACTGCCAGGACCGGTGTCTGCTTGTCGCTCTGCACACCGTGCTGAGACTAGACCAGTGAGGGCGGGACACGGCTGTGACATTTGCCCCTGAAGGTGTCATCTCAGAATGTTCCATATCGCTCACTGACACTTGCAAATAAAACTCTTAAAGTAAACACTCGCATATCCTACTTTAAAGTGTGTTATTCATGAGGAACCCAGACCTGAAACCGCTAAGCCTGCACACCTCCCCCTGGGGTGCAGGGACGCCGTGCGGTGGGTCCTGAGTGTGTCAGCGAGTGCTTCCCAACACCTGCACCCACAGGCCTGGTCTGGGCTCCCTCCCGCAGAAGCCCCGTTACACCAAAGGTTTCCACACCTCTTAGCCGGGCTTTCACAGAAACATGGCTGTTGCCAGTACAAAGATGCTCTGAGTGGCTACACAGAAAGGAAAACCAGTTATGAAATGTCAGGGTACAGCTAAAGCCTACACAGGTTACGATGGGCAAGGCAGCTAGCCTTCTCTTAGTGGGAGCTGTGCCAGGAGGGTGCCAGTTCAGGGCTGTGAGATGGCAGCGGACACTCCTGTGACCGCTGGGAGGCCACGTGCCGTGCTCCCGAGGGGAGGCAGCCTTCACCTCGTGTCTGAAGTACGCGACTCGCAGAGTGTAAAAGGCTTTATTCTCTAAAGACCCTTGGCCGCCTTCAGCCGCTCCTCGAGTCTCTCGGCCTCCCCAGGGCAGAGGTGAGCGGCTTACCGAGATGTCCTGCTGGTGGCGGCTCCCACGGACTCAGCTCTTCTTTATGTGACTCAGCAGCTCGTCCTTCTCCATCTGGTAACCGCTCTTCTTCCACTGGTCCCGCAGCTGCTGCAGCAGCGCCCCGATTTCCTTCCCGGAGGAGATGCCCGCCTTCCTGATGTCGTGGCCGCTGACGGGGAAGGAGGGCACGGACCACTGCTGCAGGTCCTGCAGGAGGCCGGGCTGGCCCTGGTACTTCAGCAGCTCCCAGACGCGGGCGGCGGCATCGGGCTCCCTGGACTGAGGGCCAACATCAGACAGGCCACACACGTTAGAAAGCATGCTAACGGCCCCAGCCTAGAGTCACACACATGCTCAGTGGGAAATTCTCAGTTAAAATATATGAAGTCCACAGAACATGTTGTGGGTCTTCGTGTTAATAAGTTAGCTTTGCTCAGCCAGTGTGGCTCAGTGGTTGAGTGTTGACCTATGAACCAGGAAGTCACGGTTCGATTCCTGGTCAGGGCACATGCCCGGGTTGTGCGCTTGATCCCCAGTGTGGGGCGTGCAGGAGGCAGCCAATCAATGATTCTCATCACTGATGCTTCTATCGCTCCCTCTCCCTCCCTCTTGGAAATCAATAAAAATATATTAAAAAAACAAAAAGTTAGCTTTACTATTAGGACGGACTGCACTGACCACGACTGGTATGTACTTACGTCTATGATGAAGTCCTGGTAGGGTTTCAGTGGTTCGGAACTGTCCGTTGCTTTAGTTAAGTCATTCCTGTATTTAACTAGAAACAAGCCAAGGTTTTTCTCTTCTTTTGAAATCTTCAACCTCAAATCCAATTTTGTGACATCGTCCTGCACTTTGAATAACGAGGCCAAGAGAGTCATTGGCTTTGGTGAAAATCCTTCAACATTTCTACTGACTTTGTCAAATTCTTCCAAACTTGCATTAGCAGGTAAACCTGTCGGGATAGGAGCATTTTTCACTCGTCTGTGCGGTGGTTACATTTAGTGAACGACACCCACACGCTACACCAGCCACTGCTTTGCTGGTAGAAACGCCCGTGGCCAGGGCTCAGTGTTGGTCCAATCTGGTGCCCTCCATCCACAGGGACTAGTGATGGCTGCTGGCCTCACCCCCTCGCCCTGCACACCGAGGGGAGCTGTAAAGTGTCTGGGTCCATTTACTGGCTGAGCAGGGGGCAGAGATGGTGATCAGGCCCAAGGGACACAACCCAATGCAAACTCCTGGCCACTCACTGACGTGCGACCATAAGACACGCACTCCTTCAGCCCTGGCGGGGCTCGGCTGGTTGGAGCATCACCCGTGCACCAAAAGGACACGAGTTCAATTCCCCCTCGAGCATGTATGGGAGACAACAGACCAATGTTTCTCTCTCAAAAAACCTTAGAAACAGGTGACGATTTAATAAAAGAGTGTCCATCTGCTCCAACCACTGTCTGTATTCGAACTATCCCCAAGTTTCCCCACACAAGATGCACAGATGACCCCGTTCTTTCTGAAAGTAAATTATAAGTTACTAAAAAGCTGCTATGCCTGCCACTCTGAGGGCCTTGCATGTGTTAACTCACCAAACCAGCCTCATTAGAAAGAGGCTGTTACTTTCTCCCCAGGTTTAGATTCAGAAACTAACAGTCGAGGAACTAACGCACATCACAGAGCCGACAAGTGGCAAAGGCTCATTCAAACCCCGGTCTGGCCGCAGAGGCCACTGTCCCACTAGCCTACGCTGTGTCTGAGTTGTCCCCCACTCGTGACAAAACTCTCCTACCTCGTCCTCAAAGTTTATTTTAAAATACTCCACTGCTCCTTTGAGGATTCTTCAGCTGAACTAAACGCATGCCCTTACGGAATGCGGAGCCAGCGTTCCGCCCCTCTCAGTGCAGACACGTGCGGCCGGGCCTCACCTATGTAGGGAGCCACGCCGAGGTCGTAGATGAGGTGAACCAAATGACTGACATGATTTCCAACCAGAATCTTTTTCAGTTCCACCCAGATCCTCTCTCCTGATATTCCGCCCAGGCCTTTGGCATTTTCCGCAATTGCTTCCAAAGTCTCAGGGTCGTGGTCACCAGGTTTGTCTACAATCCTCCCACAAAACCTACAAAACAGAATTCTCGGTGGATCCCACTGTCGGCACACCATCCAGGAAGCTGTTTCCAACCTCCCGGCACCTTCCCCACCTAGTGAATCTCACACACACAACCACCTATGGTCTGTTCTCTACCTTCTCTTTTTTCTACATGAGAAACCCGGAAGCCAATAAAATACGAGTAACTTCTTAAAGCGGGCAAGAACCAGGCCGCCCGCCTCACTCACTTCTGTCACCGAGGGAGTTGGAGGGGCATCCAGCGCAATCCCTGAGCTGGGACAGGGGAGGAGTGAAAGGGGCCCCTTGTCCAGGCGCCCAAACAAGGCCGAATGCGACCCGAGCAGCCCAGCCCGAACGCTGGCCTGCCTGTCACATCGGGAACGAATGACGTTTCTAATGGGACGTGCCTGTCCCTGACGCTGGAGTGTTTCACAGCATCTCAGAACTGACCTCAAACCACACCCGTCCACCCGTCCACCCTTGGCTACGTCTCCCCTGGAGACTCACTTGGATGTCACCGCTTCGTGCACTGACTACGTACACGTCACGGTCAGAACTGTATTCGGGTAATAACTATCGATTTTAAACATTCTTACCTGAAATATCTTAAAATTCTAAGGTAATCTTCTTGTATCCTCTTTTTAGCATGTCCAACAAATCTCACTTTCTTATTCTTTAAGTCTTCATAACCATTGAAGTAGTCATACAAAGTACCATCAAAGCCTGTTCATGGGAAAGGGGAGAGAAGTGACAAATGGGAACTGGGAAGCAATGTGGCAGATCCACAACTGGAGCGTCACTCAGCCGTGAGACGGGATAAAACCTGCCACCTGGGGTGTGGGCGGCCCTGCGGGCATTAGGCTGAGGGAGTGAGTCAGACAGAGCCGATGGCAGCGCCCTTGCTTCACAGCCGGCGGGCGGCAGTCGAATGCAGCCACTGTGCCCGGTCTCTGAGGCAGCCTCGCGGGTGCGGGCATGGGCTGCAGAGCGGCCAGGAACCAGGGTCCCCAGGCGGGCACACCAAGGACCGAGGTGAACACACCCCCACGTTACCCAGGAACATCGAGTTGACAGTGAGGTCTCGGCGCTCGGCGTCCTGCTGCCAGTCCGTCGTGAATTCCACCTCCGCGTGTCTTCCATCCGTGACCACGTCAATCCGCAGGGTGGTGATCTCGAAATTTTCGTTATGCAGCTGTAATTACATGGTTTTCAAAAATGAGGCTTCAGATTCACCGATGTGAGTCCTGACATTAGGCAGTTCTTTCTTCTCAGTCGGCGGGCGCACAGGCACCCCGACACAGAAAGGCACCCAGGACATGCACAGACGGGTCCACAGGCTATTTTCCTAAAAAGATGAGTCTGATACAAAAACGGCCACTGGGACAAGTGATGTGACAGAGGGGAGAAGCCCTGACAACAGTGGATCCCGCTGCTTCTGTTTCAAGCCAGGCTGCTCTCTGAACCCTTCCTGACGGACCCCGTGTGCAGAGAGCTGTGTCAGTTACAGACTGTAACCACTGAGCGAAGGGCTGACAGAGGAGAAACGGGGAGCACAGCGGGCAGCTGCTCACCCCTCACCAAGGAGGCTGCTGGGAGGCCTCCGTCCACCTTGGCTGGAGGGACCGTCTGCAGCGGTGAGAAGCCGAGTAGCTTCGTGACCGTGACCTGCGCTGAGCCGTGAGAACTCAGCAGGACCTGCGCACAGACGTGCACGAGTGAGAGGAGAGATGGCTGCAGTGCAGTGAGGAAGGGGCGGACGGAGAGAGGGCACCTGCCACCGAGCAGACATGGCGGGGGAGCAGCAGGGAGCACACGGGGCAGGGAGCAGCGCAGGGTCTCACATGCACACGGGCGCCTGGAATCTCCGCACAGGAACGGGGAGCCAAGCGAACACTCCACGACTGCTCTAGAATTCCTGTCTCACTCACTCTTCCCCAGGGACCAGCTGGTCTCACTCAGAATTCCAGAACTCGGGAGTCTGAGGCACAGGGAAGCGGCAAGAAAAGGGTTTGAAATGTGAAGGCTCTTTGAGACCTGCTATATGAAAACAGGGCTCCCAGGACGCCGCCCGCACCAGAGCAGTTAGCCCACGGAAAGGCCGATCAAGAGCAGACACATCTTGGACGGCAGACGGAGAGGATCATGGGAGTGATCACCACGATGAAGTGAAAACAGTGACCAGGACCTGCACCCCTTCCCCCGCTTGGTTTTTAAAACGCCAGACAGCGGGCTATTCTAACTGGAGGCTCCGCAGATTTCCCCCAAAGACACGCCCTACTGATAGTGACTGGGCCCAGAGACATAAACTCTCCGGGTATTTTACAAACCCCAGACGACACCCAACACCAGGGGAGGGCCCAGGACTCCCCATTTAAGTCAAAGGAAAGACAGAAACCGCTCAGAGGAAGGGAAGACACTGTCTACACGCTACCCTAAGGGAAATAGGACAGCAGGAGGCTTTCAAAAGAAATATTCTAGGAAAGACCATCAGGAACTTGACAAGACGGCAAAATTTGCAAAAAGACTAGAAAGACTGGGTGGTCCAGTTACGGCGACCTGTGGAAAGCAAAGGGGAAGATACGAGAATATGACAGAGGAGACCGAAGGCAAAACTAGGTTCGTCCCCGCGGTCCATGCCCAGCGCCACAGGGGTTTCCGGGGAGACAGTGAACCAGAGTGAAGTGAGGACGCGGGAGGCCCACCCGGGGCGCTGTATGGTCCATGAGAAACAAATGCAACGCAAGGCCCGTCAGCTTGAGAGTGAAAACACCAGGGAGGGAAAGACCACAGAGGCTTCCAGAAGGAAGCACCCTCAGGCCGTGAAGGAGAGGTGCGCCCGGGGCCGAGATTTCTCCGGAGGCTCCGGGAAGAGCCGTCCCAGTTCCGAGCAAGGACTCCCCGCTCTAAGTCCACAGCTAACACAACCATCAGACCAGAGTGAGGGCGCCAGCAAGTAAGAACGCCAGGCGTCCAGGAACAGGCCATGGAAGAGGGAGAGGAGGAGGTTCCCGGAGCTGGCGCAGGGGAGCTGGGGCAGCGGGCAGGTGGCCCGGACCGTCCAGGTGAGGGCCCGGAACAAGGACTGAAACTTGGTCGCTGGAGTGGACTGAGAGGACCCTGGCAGTGTGACAGCCCAGGACACACCGGGGCACACACACGGACAGCGATGTCCAAGAAAAATGCTGTTAACATAAAGTCACGTGACACCAGAAATGTGGTCACAACACGCCTGCGATGTGGCTGTGCACAGGCCACAGGGGGGCACCGGACGCTGACTTAACCCAACACCAAGGACGATGCCCTGAGAAACCGCCGCGGCTGGTGTGGCACATCCCCCTCCCTCCCTAGTAGGACCTCAAGTCAACAGATCCCACCTGAAAACTGGGAAATCAACATGAAGCACCGGGGCACAGAAAGGTGTTCGGGAACCTGCAGGCAGCAGGTAAGTGCGGAAGGAGCCCTGGGAAGGAGCGTTGCCGGGGAGGGAAGGGGAGTGGGGAGGCTGTCTCCCAGGAGCCTGGGTGGTTTGCTGGTCGTCACTAGGAAATGTAAGCTGTGAAGTCAGGACCGGGCAGCGCGGTGGCTGCCGGCGCCCCTCACCCTGGCCGTGACGGTCCCGTGCTTCTCCCCCTTGTTGTTGATCATGCGGACGCCGGCCGCCTGGAACAGCCCCTTCATCTGCTCAGGCGTGGCGGTGGTGGCGAAGTCCACGTCCTGCGGCTTCACGCCGGACAGCAGGTCCCGCACGGCGCCGCCTGCTATCCGCAGCTCGTGGTTTTCTTTGGCAAATAACTCTGATGAGAAAGATATTTTTATTTCAAGGTGCTTCCCCGAAGGACCCGGGGGTACGTGGTTTTCCAGCCTGTGAGAGCCGGCGGGACCTTGAGCGCCTCCTGTGGGCGTCGGAGGACAGGCCCACAGGAAGGGAGGACCTCAGTGAACGCCCCTCCCAAAGCCACTCCACTAGGGACGCTCTCCTGATGGCCAGTTCCGTGATGTTGGTCGAAGCTGCAGGGCGAGGCTATCTTTACGTCCTGATCACACGAGAGGTACCCGCTCCCCGCTGCAGGCCGACGCCTGTCTCACTCAGCTCACACAAGCTTGGCGCACACAGGAACGGAACTGTTATGGTGGCCGAGCTTAACAGAAAGAGGGGCTTCATGGAGAGTGTATTTTTAAAAAGGTTTCTTCCTTTGAGGCAGGGTATGTGGCAGAATTGTGGTCGATGAAAACTACAGAAACCGTCACGGAAGCCCACCCCCACCAGACTAAGGCTTAGACCCTGCACAAGACAAGCTGGGCCCAAGTGGCTCATCTCACCCAGCATCACCCCTCGCCTCATTAGCAGCTACACAGGCACCTGAGCCACCAAGATTGGCAAGGGAAGCCCATAACCGATCCTCTGAGAAGTCTCCACCCCTGTCCCTGAAAATCCGTTAAATGAGCCTCAGTAAAGGAAGTAAACCCACTGGGAGGGGCTGCAGTCTGTGGAGGAGCCCCGCTGTCTCCCGGCTTCACTCATAAACTCTCTCTCACTTCTAAAATCTAGGCTGGCTCGACTCTGAATTCTTTCCTGCCCAAGCACAGGAGACCCACAGCGGGTCATGCACCCGGGAAAGCCTGC